GTTATCCATAGAATCTGAACCATGGGAAAATGAAAGAAACCGTTTCAAAGACTGAAATGAAGACGAATGTGACACTGAAATGTTGGACTACTCACATGCACAGCAACGATACGAGAATGAAGATCTCAGAATCGACAGATAGGATCTCTGGAGTGCGCCACGTGGTTGACTTTGGCTCGAAATCGGCGCATTTTTGACTTGTAGTGTTGGCGAAGTGCCACTGCTACTATGAGCACGAATCGAAGAAGCAATCTCGGCCAGTACGGAACCAATCATCCTATTCGACCGTTACCAGTCACTTAGGTGGTCATCTAAAAGATCATTTTAGAACGGAGCATATTCACATTCGCATTTCATTGTATTTACATTCACTGCACATGCAATCAAAGGCCACCACAACGAGTGGAGATCAATTGCGTGGCGCATTTCTGGAAGTTGAGACAGAACCGAGCTCGAGCTGCTTGCAAAACAGCATGAGGACAGGATTGTGGAGATCTTGATCCTCCTAGGGATTCTACTTGCAGTTATTTTCAAGTTCACCCGATAGGGAGCTTACCCGAAGTTTTGACAATCATTTATTGACATACCGGTAATCATGAGAGTAAGTACCGGTGCGCTAATATCTGATTTATGAAATTACCAAGGACTCCAACTCGTCCATGCAGTGGGACGAGAGTAAGTGAAGAATTTTTCTACAGAAATTATTTGCTTTTCAGACAGCACGCCGTCACCCACATCTGAAGGTCCTGTTTGCCATAGGTGGCTGGGAAAATTCGCAATATTTCTCGCTGCTCACTGCCGATCACCCTCGAAGGTTTGTGCTTCCAGCCAAACTAGGAACTTATTCCTGTAGTAGTTGAAAAGAATCAACTCAGTTGTTTCAGGACGATTTTGATCAACAAAATTGTCGACGTCGTTCTAAAATATGGATTCGATGGAGTCGATTTGGATTGGGAATATCCTGTGACAGGAGGATCTGTTGAAGGCACCCCGGTAAGATTTTCAGAACACGTGCTCAGATTTC